TATAATTTGTACTAAATATTGTCTACATTTTGCACCGAATCGAATGCGACTGGTATACAGTTCGGTAGACTGTATGGTCCTTTCTGTAGAAGTATACGTCTGAATTATTCACATGGGAGCATGCAGATGAACAGGCACTGACAGTTCACTATCGATTGTCAGTGGTGTTTCTGAGAATACAATTTTATCTCCCTCTGTCTCACCTGTTCTGATTTATGCTACTGTCCTAGTCAGAACTATGGGCAGTTAGTAATCACGTAGTAACAAGTGACACGGATTTCCATTATTTGCGTGTGAAACCGACAACCAGTTTCGTGATCACTCAACTACTCACCACAGTGACTGAGCTTTTAGGTCGCCCTCCCAGCCACTGGTTAATCTGCACTCATACTCATGCCAGTGATGGACTATTGGAACCTAAGCCCTAGGTTTTATTGTACAGGTTTTCTTGTCGTTTAAAAGCCTTTGACGATGTTTGACATACCACGGCTAATATTGTAATTGGCTGTCCGCTTGCTCAATTTGGCCGATAGGTAAGAACACCAATCCTTATCTTTATTTAACAAAACAAACTTGGTTGAATGTGTTTATTAACAGGCATGTGAAATACTTGAAACATTGTATGAAAGAAACAGCCCGAAGGTTTATACATTAGGTTCAATGCATTGCCCGAACAAAAATAAAGACTGTTTTGACCTCATATTGAGAGGAACACCATTGGATAAATCGGTCTTGTTTCAACTCATGAAGCTAGATCGTAACGATATCACTGAGGAAGTTGCGTGGCGATCTTAACGCTGACTGTTCTCTTGCATTTATTTGTAGCACCGGACCAAAACAGCCACCAGCAAGGTTCGGGTGAATGTGTTTTATATAAAAATATTTCACGATCTATGATCACGCATACAAGTTGCCATGATGCCAGTACGGAGGTATAGAGGCAAAATTGTGTCTCGTAAGAAGCAAAAGCTGTTGGAGTAAATCTCTTCCCATCTTGTGGAGGGAGCGATGGGTCCCAACATAATACTTCCGTAGTCTGTGATGGTTTGCTCATCGGAAGCTTGCAAAATCATCGCTTTTTGTGCAATTAACAGTTGCTTCTCGATGTTTTTAAACCATCAAGCACTTTTTCAGTGGGATTGAAAAAACAGCTGCAGGGTGGAAATAAAGCGAGTTGAATGTCCCGGGGCTACAACAGTGGTTTTCACCCGCCTTTACGTAATGGAATTGTCAAATAAAATATAGCTGATGCATCCCGCTGTTTAGCACCGAATTTTGATGGGCATTTCTCAAGGAACTGAATAAATATGTGCGCATTCATTCATGAGTGACTTTCGAAGCACGTGATTCCGGTGGGAGAAAGTACGTGATAACTTCGAGATTAAAGCTTCTGTGAATAGGCAAGGGTTACTTCTTAGCGAACGCCTCTTGGTCGAGAGTACCACGTATCATAATTAGTTTCGCCTATATGTATACGCAACACTGTACTTCTGTGTTCCCCCAACGAGGTTGCATATTCAGCGCGTTTTTGTTTGACACCATACTTGTTTCACTCAATCGGTTTAATGATAAGCTTTTTTGCAGGATGTCCTTGACCATCAAGCAAGCGATCAATTGATGATAAAATGATCGTTATTTCAGGATACATACTTTCCGCCCTCTTTCTTATCATGGAAAGGGTTGCTTCAGGATATTCTCCTAAGAGGGAGCAGATCTTTGCAATATGCTTATCTGAAAATTTCCTTTTGGCGAATCCACTTCTAAGACTAAATTCACGTTTTCTTGCGGTAGTGCCTCGGCAGGTCTTGATGTTTATTACTAGGTGATTCGCTGTGAGGTACAGACTTTAACCATTCCTCTACCATCGTATCACTCGTTTCCTATCATCTTCACTGATGCTCATCCGCTTCTTCTTGTGTTTGTTGGGGTTATTCATGCTCAGTGCTCCCACCACAGTTTCATCAACAGCTTATTCTTGCATTGTGGGTGAGCCACATTTCTATAGGGATGAACACTACAAATGAGCCCTCGACGGGGCAGACAATGCGCTTTCTTTACTCAATCGCTCGACCCTGTCACCACAGCAATGCTGCGATTTCCGACGCTTCCAGTTGGGCCACTGGGCAATTTAGCGACCATAGCCTTCGGTAACCGAACCTTCCGACGCATCCAAGCCGCAAAAGGTCGCACCACGTGCGAGTTTCCGGTCCCAGATAAGGGACTTGGTAGGCTAATGTAGGTCAAATGAACGGCTGCGAGCACGATATAAATCTGATTCTAATCACTTTTCAAGTCACCAATTGAATGATTGCTTAAACATCTACGGGATTACTAATGGTGGAATCTGAGTTCATCTATTTACGCTAACAGGTGAATACAGATTCGCATCTCAAGCGGGAACCAGTCATTGATGAAAACTGAAGAAGAATTTTTGAACATCTAAGGAAAGGTGAAGATTCAAATTGTTTATCCTACACTCTTGGAATTGCCATTAAAACCAGTATAGGTATCACCAAACGGCACTCAATGTCTAGCCTTGAAAGAGAATTCGTAAAACGTAAATTTTTAAATGACTTTACAAATGGGTCTGTGCTCATTGATAAAGGAGAATCCCAGAATCTCTTTGAGTGAGATGAAGAAAAAGATGGAACCGTTACATTTGATTGTAACGATCAATTTTTCTTCCATTAATCGTCTTCTCGATGGTCCCAGTTACATCACGAAAAAAACATGCTTTCTCCCAATCGAGCGAAACAGGGTTGATGTCAAAGAGAGAAGAGATCAATATGCAATGCGGTTACTTGTTCATGGTAGCTCCGTCATACGATTCCACATAGATGAGACAAATACCAGCATGTAAGCCATGTGTACCATAATGTTAACCTTGTTATTCTAATTATCACCGAGGACCCATAAAAGAGCGCCATTGGATCTTAAACGATTACCAAAAGCTCTCAATAATTACCACTGGATCTTAAACTGCAGGAAAACCTGTAGTATGAACGCCTGCATCTACTCATCCAAAGAATATGAAAACGGTAAATTATATGCAATCGCTTGAATCGTTCACGTACTAAAGTCTGATCGATCTCCCAGCTATTTGAGGGCTTGAGCTCACTTTTGGCCACGTTTCTCCGTTTATTAAAATTGCTATTGCGTAAACAACTCTTCCTTTTTTGGCCAACTTACACCTCAATCTGTGAATTTCAACTTGGATCACCTTAAGCCCAACCTGGTGTCCTGTTGAGCTAGGATCTGCTTTGTTTGTCGTGAGATTTTACCTAAATGGTCGTTTGGTTTTCTTCTGTATGTATTTGCTGTTTGATAGGCGCAACCTATTACGTGATTGACTCATTCTATTTTTACGACAATGAATATTACAAAGTCCCCTGTAAATTCATTCACAAAAGATGTATTTATTCGCATTTATCGTATTTTTCCACTGATCTACTAGAGTAACCGGATTCCGTGTGCAAATTAATCCGGGAAGACACAGCCATTTTGGGTGAACACTTATCATTGGACCGAAAGAATTTCACTGGAGTTGCAATAAAATAATAAGCTATGTTTCGCTGCATGCTTACAACTCTAGATCACATTGAAGTAATCACGGTTTGTACAACAAATTTCAGGGCAAATCTCTTTCCAACCACTATAAGGCACTTGTCAACAGAGGACTCCGGGTTTTTGTCAAGATGACTCCGAGATGTGTCTTGTTTATTCTACTTCAAGAGTCACCTGGGAATTTTTCCCCTTTATCCTTGCTGCTGGTTGCCAATGTAGGGGTCAACACTAAAGCTGATGAATTTCCACACAATAATGTCAGACAGAGTTTGCCAACTGGCTATCTTCACCATTGTGCGGACCAATCTCACAGGTAAATGACCCAAGGCAAATCTCCCAGTCAGTACTCTGCACCAAGATACGGTTAAAAACAAAGCAAAAGGTGATCTATTCTCTATGCATTTGTCTACAACTTGCTTGCTGTCTACAATCAGTTATAAAACGTGCACTTATTCGACTGGAAAATCGGAAAAAAATTATTGATGTTTCACATTGTTCATTTTATTTCCGTATTTGTTATTAAGTAGTATGAACGTTTATCACATCGATGATCAAATTTTATAGTCCCACCATAGCCAGTGATGTATTGCAATCCGTTTTCGCCGACCCGGCTTCCTATCAGGACACTATAAGAATATCTATTTCAGGTTTCAAGGTCGTGGTTGTCAATAGTCCATGGCACTGAAGAATGTCGCGGTGACCTTGGATTGTACTTGGGCGCCATAATGCAATAAAAATACACACGTTTCCCATAGAAATAGCTTAGTACTGGCTTTGTAATATCTTTTGAAGATTTCTGAAACTTCCCTTGCATTTATCCACTCAACTTATCAAATGCTGTCAGTTTGCATGTGTTGTGTATAACTCCTAGAAACGATGTGCTGCTTTTGCGCAAACTACTAGTCGATATCACAGTTGGTAGTGTGATCAGGTTTACGCTCAGTGGAAATTCTGCCGGTATGATGGGTTGGTTGAGGCACGTTTTGCTCGTACTGATTTTTTTGCAAAACTAAAGATTCGAGTTAAATTGCACTCGCCTTCCCGTTAGGTCATACACCGAAACTCTTGAGGCATCCGACTGAATTTCTTTTATTGTTTTTGAAAAAATTCAGGCTAGGTAAGGGACAGCGAGATCTCTAAGAAATCTTGCACACGGCAATGATTTGAAGAGTTGTCAGTAATGAACTTGAGACTTAAGAGTCTGTGTGACTCCGTCATGAGAGCTGACAGAAGATGGAAGATGTTCACACAATCAAGAGAGTGCATCGTTCAAAGAGTCTATACAAAAGCACAAATAGTCCGAATTTGACGAAGGGCATTAAAGTTTCCTTTCAAAAGAACAGGCGAATATCAGATTGAAATCAAGAACAATATCTTCCTAAATTGTGGTCTCACCCAATAGATATTTGTCTCATTTTCTCTGTTCCCCCGAATAGGCTGAGCCACATCAGAGTCACATGCGTATTCATCAGTTGGAGAATGTGAGCAAAGCACTGCGATTCCTATGCGCTCAGGGTGCGCATATAGAGAATTTGGGTGCACAAGATATCGTGGACGGAAATCCCCGATTGACTCTTGGATTGATTTGGACCATCATTTTGCACTTCCAGGTTAGTGACATCAGGCTTGAGAATTGAGTAGTTTTTTGTGTGAAACTCCTACCAACTTTGCCATTCGATAGACTACCAATCATGGTGGACTTCACATGAATAGGTAATGGCTGTCTTCAGGATGTGTGAAATGAATGTGTGTAAAAAAGCATTCGGAATATCAATACAAAGATACAGTAAAAAAGAGGATGATATTAACATAAATCCATATATCCGGTGCTTTGACTTGTTTTAATGCTCAGTCTCTTCGTGAATCGTAAGCTGATGACTAGTGGGAGCTTGATAGTCTCCTTTATTTGAGATATGATTTCTCTTTTGTACAAGCAGTTACTACCAGCAGGTCAGAAGGGTTTTATTGAGCATGATATGGTTTAAGATCGTCAGACAAGAGCCCAATTACTTTTGAAGTTGATTGCTGTAGGATATTCAGAACTATGATATGTTTTTTTGTGAATCATCTCCGATCAGATCATAAAAGCTGAAATAATGTGCTTGAGATGCATAGCTCACTTTAGATCTGAACCACTCAACTAAATGTTAGCCAAATTGAGCAAACCGTTGAGCGATCTGCTGGTATATGAAAGCTCACTTGAGAATAAGATTATTCAGCGAGATGCATTACAGCTGGATGCTTAACCCCGTGAGAAGACTATGTACCCTGGCTAGCTCATGTACATTAGGACAGAACTGAATTTTAAATGTCTGTCCCAAATACTCAAAACAATAAAAATGACATTAGATTCTAGATGATTGTTCTATCCCATTCGGATAGACAGGAAGATTTCAAAGGTGATAGAAGCTTTTTCATTGATCGTGGTACAAATCAGATCATGTATTTATTTTGTGGATTAGAAAACGTTTCAATTGACAGGATTTAAAGGAAACCAAGTCCTCCATCTAATCGATTATTCAGACGGTTCAGAGAATTCCGGGAATCTCAGTTGGAAGAAACTGTCGAACTTTGTTCAAATTTAAGATACACCTGACCTGCAACGGACAGTTCGCATTGATTGAACACGCATCTCTGGCTTGCAGTAATCGGATAATAAAGTAAAAAATTTTAATTTACAGTATACATGTCTGTCTACCAAACTCACACCTACCAATTATATGAGCTAACCGAATATTACAACCAGTGGTCAAATGTCTCCTAGTGGGAAGGAAAACAAATTGAGTAATTTGCTAACCCTCAAAACGAGTTCAAAGACGCAATTTCACTCATCCCTTGAGTGTTGAACTTTCGGCAGTCATTCCGTTAGTTAGTTCTAGTTTTTGTGGGTTACACGGAGGAACAAATTGACCCTTTTACTGCAGTCCAATTGTCACATTTTGGCAATTGGATTTTTCTGATACGGCAAAGAACAGCACATTCGGAGCGAAAACATTTATGGTCTCTTACCGATACAACCGTACGAAATCTTTTCTCTTTATCTGAAATACCCCATTCGTATTCTAAAGAGTAATTGTTTGTCAGTAGTGTGGTAGATGTTCAAATGACAGCTTCGGGCCACTTGGTATTACCAGTGGGAGACTCCCATTATCTGCAGCTCAAATGCTCTCCAAATTGTGGTTATACGTGGAAATGCATAACAGCAAATATTTAACGAAAACTCTCAGTCAGGCTTTCGGATTTTTTAATGCATCCCGAAGATAGTACAGATTGTTTGTTTCAAAATTCGACGAAGAAGCCCACGTGTACTTCACTCAGTACGGTTATTGCGTAATCCCCATGAAACAACTTCCTGTAGAGGAAAAACAATCTGTTCAGTTTTGTTCATTTTCCATTGATATATGACTTTTCGAAAAAGAGGAAAGAAAGGCGCCTCAACTGGGTGCTCCAAAACCGTACGGAATATACAAACACGGGGATATACAGGGGTTGCAGAATAATCGGACAGGTGATAACAATAAATCATACTAAGAATCTCTAGAATTTCCACCCCAAGAATAACCCGAATTCAGATATAATAAGTCCTACATTTTAGCAGCTTCCTCCTAAAATTATCTTGAAACAGTTTTTCCAGTACAGGGTTGTTTGATTTTTGTACCGGATATATTTTTTGCAAAGCAACTGTTATCCTGGATGAGCAAGTGGTTCGTAGTATTCAACCTGTGACCTGGCGTGGCTCTTTCCTCCAAGTCTCAGTAACAAGACTGTTGTTTTTCTCAAGTGAATGGTAAGAAGTTGTTACTTTGTACCGACCAGTATATCTTTGTTCAGCAGTCGAACTTAGGTTCCCGATTTCGTCGATTCAAATCGATGCGAAATGATGTTCCTATTCGAAATAGTTGGGACCACTGTTCAGCACCCTCACTTTCAGAATATAAATTATTATGTGTTAACAATATTACAGTGAAAGTTTCCATTTACATAAATTGATTGTTGCATTGCGCTTGTTTTCCGGAAGACCAACAAATACAAATTCTATTAGCCACAAAAGAAGAATTTTTCATATATCAAATGAAATTACAACTGAGTGTGGTTGTTCCAATTATTAAGACAGAAAATTATACGAATGCTTAATTCGAAGTCAAAAAAACAAGAAATAATTTGTTGCCAAATTAGATTTTTAGGGGTGCAAGAAAAAAAACCGCTTCGAGAGAAATACAATCTACTGAGAAGGTGACTGTAAAACTTATTGAAGGAAGCAAATTCCACGATTCGTTGCATATACTTTCTTGTAGCACTCAAAAAGTGCTTAGATGGTTCAGCATGTTTTGCTCTATCCCACTCTCGAAGACGATTGTTATGGAAGTGGTGAGCACCACGGACTCAAAAGCTTGTTGTATTGTAAGGGATAACCGGCCACCTGATCCAGAGACATGGAATGAAGTGCAGTATGAGGTCTTCATAGATCGGGCATGGTTGATTTCCACCATCCTGGAAATAGTGGATTGCTTCCTATTGTAAAAGTGATTGGCAGTGGTTCCGAAGTTCAGTTGTCGTACCTCCAAGATTACAGATGTTGATACCACTTGTCACCACATGATAAAGGAGAATTGAGAACACGGATCAATGACCCTGTTGACTAGATTAACGAGTTATACTTGGCCCAAAGTAGGTCTAACAGTGGGACATACTTATGTATGGGTTCGTGCCTATGAGCAGTTATCCATAGTTTGTACACGTGTTTGGGAACTTTGGAAATCGGCGTAGCGTCCAGTTGACGGTTGATACTCTACCCCACTGCTAATCACAACTACGGCAGATGGCTACCCGCTGTCCCCTGAAACTTTACAATGTCTGGCCTATTATAACTTCATTTGAATCTGCACCGAAAGTTCCGGAGCTAATGATGTTAGGATTTATGATGGTGGAGTGGAATTCCCAAGGTAAGGAAGTGTGCGCTTTTGCCTGAACTATTACACAAATATAGAGTTTGTGCGTATCGCAATTACTTGCGGGTAGTGTGTAGGATTGATGATACTTGGCTTGGTTGACTGTCCTTTGGACTCCATATTTCACGCACAAACCGAAGATCATCCGATCAACCCTGCATTCGGAAGCGCCACATTTGATTTTTGCTCTTGGTGGAGCTCATCAGTGGTGTATATCCTCTGCCACGCCCAGGGTTTGAACCGGAGCCTTTTCACCTTGAACATGTGTGCGTTACCTGTGCGCCACCCCGCTCCCATCCGGGTCGATCCGAATCACCGACTCAAGTTGTTCAGATGTAATCTTCTATGGCAACCCGCAATGCCCGACAGCTTCGAATGGAGACACGGTCACTGCCCCGTTAACTCCAAGCGAATTTCTCCTACCAAATCAGGTCTTCATCACGGAATGGGAGATTGATAAGATGATCTGAGATTTGTGTGCGATAGGCACAGTCCAACAGACGGTCAGCCAAGGAAAATATGCGTTGAAAGTATGAGGAAACGAAAAACAGTTAAAATATCACAATGATAAAACTGCCGTTTCGGTCCGAATTATTTCTATTCCAATACATAAGATATATCGATGACTGACACAACTCCGGTTCCTCCAGGCAAACAGTTCAACTAAATCATTCAAAATATCAGTGTCAATGTGCCACTCAATTTTATCATCAAAATACCGTTGTCCGATTAATCCTCATCATCCGAATCTCACGACTTAATTCGGGATTCTCCATTCACTTTCCAGTTAGGCTAAACAAATAAATACGCAAGCGAGGAAAAGAGGGGGAGCATGCAGAATATCATTTTTGGTCAGTTATTTAAATGCATTGGGCACAGCTCGTACCAGCCTTTAACCGGAACGGACTTTTTTACAAGAGTAACATCATAGCCACGCTTTACACATACCTACTCCGTTGTAGAGCGGTTGTTTGAACCGCATCTTGAATGCAAAATTATTTTGCAGGTCTTGGTATTACTGACTCTGCATTTCGAACCAAATCAATGTCAGCTACAAATTATCCTGGTAAAAGCACCTCACTCTTGCGAAGTTTCTCTGATACCAAAATCAAATAAATATGACTAGTGAAAATATTCCTTCACAGGAATCACGTGAAAAAACCGATGTGTAGGTTCTTGAATGAGCATCATCTGTCAAACTCAAACGTCTAACAGTTTGCACTTTGGATCTCCGAGACAAACTAATTGACCAATCATAGATGAATAATAATCACCTCTTTTGATCGTTTCTTGCGCTAATTCGATCCATACTGTACCCATAAACTACTAAGTGCCAGGTGAAACTTAGCCTTGGAAGCGGCATCTGAGAGTTGTTGTACTTACGAGATTTAAGTGAGGTATCTGGTGTTTTTGCTATTCTCCTGGAAAATTATTCTTTAAATAACTCGAAAGTTAAAACCGTTGCATCATTCCAGCAGAAGTCATTTTCGTTACTTATTGCCTTTTCTACATATACGAACCCGGAATTCACGACATAAAACGAGAGAAACTGCCCGAAAAAAATTAGAAAATATCTAAAAATATCTAAAATATTCCGCCGAAGGCTATATGATATTTGCCTAGATTGATAGTCTTCTCGTGGAATAAGGAGTTCTGCATGTTGGTTCTTAACAAATCCCAGTTAAGGCTCAGTAAATATGCACCCAAGTAGACGGTTCAAGACAATTCTAAAGTTCACGCTCACTGAGCGAATGTTTCGTCACCTGTTGGGTTGACATCATCAGTAGGGGGAAGGACTTCGTATTCCTGTGTAACGAGTCCTGTCCTTAGATTTAATCTGTACTGATCATTATGAATAAAAGGAAACTTACTATAATTATAAATTATTCTCTCATGCCATTTCAGTGCTCTGCGCAAAGTGGAAAGAGATGGGAGCAGTGTAGAGCTCGTTAGGAATAAAAATGCAGTGCACACCAATCGCTCTCCAAATAGAGCTTGGGCCTGAGGTGAATGTTGATGAAACGAATACTCTACAACCAGACTTGTGTTTGACTCACAATAGTTCACCTTGGGTTCGAGTCCCGACGGGGACTCTATACATGTTCACTACGGTTGGTGATTCCCAGGAAGGATCAGTTGAATTTTCATGCGACATGTTAAGCTGGCAATGAATATCTCATTGCCTAGATGCTGCAAACATTGTATAATTATTGTACGATTTTCTAAGCATCAAGACCTAACCCGGTAGTCCGACCGTTTTAATGCCAGTGAGTTTCAAATCCTATCCTTGTGGAATGATCTTAGCCTATATGAATCCTAGTCATATTTACTAAGCATTATCAGCAGTACTTCTGGAATAATTTTTCTGATGGGTCAGAAATAGTACACAGCATAATTTATTGGGAGTTACAAGATCGCTTTCCAGGGTAAAAGTATTAGAAATATGACCCAATATGTGTGTCTGGTAATTATCCATGTGGACAAAGCTTGAATCCAATAGAGCTGCTCAAGGGACTCAGTGTTCTCTGCGCATACGCAAAGGAGGGAAATCATATATATATACATATATATATATATATTAACAAAATTTAGTGCATGAACAACAGCTGAACGAACCACTGAAAACCACGGAAGCACTGCACAGCTGTTTCATTTTTGCGAAGAATCATCATAGGTCCCAATGGCGAGTTAAGCATTGATACGGCTTGGTAAATCATAGCAAGGAGCAATGGACTTAGCAATGAAAATCTGTGAATTATTTTCGTCCGCCACAGCTCTGCCCATCGCTTTAGGATCTTTATTGTACCCGCCATGTTCCCCATATGGTTCTCATTCCACTTAGGCATGAATGACATGTGGGTATATTTGCCCTGAGGGCGGAGAAAAAAGAATGTACACTAGGATTGACTTGTGAGATCATGGTCCTATTATTTTAAATGCCGTAACTACTTCAGCTGTAAAATGTCTGATAATATTTGTCATTCGAGTTGGTAATCAATCAAATTTGATATCCACGGTTGAATAACCTATGGGGCATCTCTGGGCGCCTCACATCCCCGAGTCTCATCAAATATCAGGTTATTCGTTCTCCAGCAATTCAACAATAGGTTGGTTACACAAGTCTCAATCGGTTGGTCCGTATCAGGTGCGTGCTCTCGTTGGGTAGATTGTACTCACGAACAGATACCTGACCAAAAGAATAGCAAAACATGTTCTGAACTCTCACCCGGACTCAATGCAGTACAATGTTGTAACACGTGGTTGAAAATGTGAGTTGACATTGTGATCCAATCTGAGTTTTCAAACCAGTTGTGGTGATTCACAGAATCCACGGCAAAACTATGCTGGGGGTTGTACATGACGCCCAAATCCATAGAATCCAAATCGGAATTCAGCATTTTACAGGCAAAAAAGTCTCGTGCAACCGGAGTCGTTGCCTTGAAGTAAGTGAGCAGTTTCTAGGTAATTCTCACTTACAAGTTCTCCCAGCCAGTTCCCCCTTCTACAATCTTTTACCCTTCTCCAGAATCACGCTGCATGCATGTTGTCTTTTAAACCAGTATAACAAGGACCATCAGTTTCCTGAATCCCATTATATTCCAAACACTAAGTATTCTTTCATTTTTAATCAGAAGTGCACTGTACAAGATAAACAGGAGCTGAACTGTTGGGGAGAAAGCAAACTTGACCAGAAGACTAAGGAAAGTTTTTGATTCATATGAAGCCTTTCTGTTTCAGTGGAGGTGTCGACTAAAGTCAGCTTTTTTTAGTAAGAACAAAAGCCTTACTTTCATTTATCATCAAGTGAATGTACATATTTAGGGAAGGGATCCGGACCCCTTGGAAGGCTGCTGAAAGGAGGAGTGACCAACGAATCGGGGAACTTCACGTGTAAGATTCACCATGGGGAGCATTCGTCTTTGATGAGATTCAAGAGAATCGAAGGCATTCTGTCAACTGATTTCGACGATCAAATGGTCAATAAAGTCAAATCGAATCCTCTGCCTTCACAGCATGTATATGTCGTCTATCCTCTATTCTTTAAATAACAAACTATTTTCTGTCTAGTGGTTGAAGTGAGTAAAAATGATTGTTCTTTTTTACGCACTGTGATACTCCTTGATTTAGTTTTTACGAGTTTCGTTATTGTGGGTATTTTGTCTACAATATTTTTCCCGTATAAGTATTCCGTCATTCCCCAACACTATCTCACTTTCAACCACTACAGGTTCAAACAATTACGTTGAAAGAATCCGACGAGACCGGTGAGGTTCGACATGCACGAGACGCATTGTTGCTTTGGTGTCAGCTGAAAACGGCCGGATATCCACAAGTACGTCTTGATCAGTTGTGCTTACCTGCACCGTGTTTATTCGAGGTTCTCGGTATCTTTATCCCGTGTATAATTACGAGTACGAAGGTGTTGGTCTCAGGATCGGAATCGCGGTGAACACGATCAAACAGCAATAACCGTGATGAGTTGGACAGTTGTTTTGATAGTCCGTTTGGGTGCACTGGTAAGCATTTGGTCAAAGGCTGTCTCCATCTTGTCCGGATCTAACTGGTGACCAAAGTAGAAGTAGATTCTAGTCCACATAGCTGCCCGTGGATATGCACTGCTGATGATACCTAATAGGGGTGAAGCATCTGTACAGCACTTACCTGTCTTTTAGAAGTGACTTCACTTATGTTGCTGCATAACAGGTCATTTCATAAACAAATCTACAAATCACACTAAGATGGAATACCAAAACTTCTTGTCTTGCTTTCCCTTGGGATAGAACAGTTAACAGATGCAGATCAGGTGGGATCGCTCCTGATTCCGTAGTTTAGCAAGAATCTCAGTGGGAAACCAAAAGAATGATTAGAGTGAAAATGCAAGAAGGGTACCAGGTGTACAGGGATGGTACATACATAGTTGGATGACTTTGTCATTCATCACGCTGGCATTGCATGCAGTAAGTTTACGCGAATCGCTAACCAAGAATTACAGAAAAGCGCACTGAAGTGAAGCAGAATGTAAATGTTGATAGTATTCAATTCGATTACGGTCTGGTAGCTGCACTTTATCCCTTAAGATTAGAGCATAATCTGTGTAACTTTCGCCTCGTAGGCCAAGATAAGAGTCCAATGGGAAATGTGGATGTGGAGGAAGTAGATCGGGTTGAAGAACTTGGCATTGGTAATCTAATCCTCAATTTGGAGATAAACTTTTCATTTGAGAATACTGGAATACGGCTAACTGTCATCAGGTGGGCTAGATCCACCTCAGTGTTTCATTACACTATTTCCTAGATTTTTATTGGACTCAGTTTAGAAAATATTATTTGCATTATTGATGAAACTACGAATGACAAAATTGGACCACAAAGGAGTAAGGATAAGTTACTAAAAACTCAGATGAGTTTAAAAGTGTAGAATGTTTAGGAGAGATTCTTCCTAAATATTCCAAAGATGCATTGTAGTCGATTAGAAGCCCGCGGACCTGTAATTCGAGATACGAAAGTCTATCCGGGTTGCTACAATGCTCCCTAGAACTAGTTGCGGCCAAATCGTCAGCTTAAATACCTATGTTTATCAAAAACTGTCAGTCTCTGAAGACAAAACTCAACAAACAGAAGTGTGGCACTTCTGGATTACCACTGGGAAAACGGAGTCAAGTACCTAACAATAACCCATGATGGGTTCAAATTTCATTCATTATCACAAATGAGTTCTCTTAGCTGAGAAAGTACTTGACTGGGCAATACTTTGTTCCACTTACAAATTTCATTAGTGGTTGATCTGTTCCACAACAGCTTTTTCAAAGTTGAAAGTTTACAAACTAATGTTTTGTGTTTTCTCTGCTGTGATGTCCTGGGTATCATTTGCTGATCATATATTCCACTATAAGATACCGGCATGATAAATGGAATTCATCTTGTGAGTGTGGTCCCATTATTTAATATCAGTATGAAATTGTGAGCATACGGTATTGTTGTAAGATGGGTCAACATCCGTGGTGTTGTGTGGAGATGTTTTGTTTCCGAGTTTTGGTCATCTCGTCAACTGGCATTGGTTGACTGGTCAGCACGGTAGACCGGTGATTACCAGGTTCTGTGATGCAATCGGGTCGATTAATTTAAGTCGTTTTTGAATGATTTTGATTGATATTTATTAGTCGAACTGGAATCGTGATGAACTGACTATCTAGCTGTTCTAAGAATTCGAAATTGAACTATTCCAGTCATTTCAATTTTCGAGCAATTTACTGTGATCCACGGCCCTCATCCAAAGATGTTGCTCGGTTGTTCCACGGAAGATGAGGGAATTAAAACAGATAAAAATGAATACCAACTCACTGCTTGGATTTCCTCATTTAAACGATAATTTGTGAGCAACAAGATGCAATTGGTGAAACAGATTTTTGAAAAGATGTATACACCAGTCTCTATTGCATTGTTATCAATAATATTATCATCATCAGTATTAATGTGCAATACGTGAACGTGTTATGACAGATGCAAACAAACGAAATACGATCTTTCTTGTCCGGAGGATGATCTGGTATGTTATCAGTTCAAATATATATTCAGTACAGAAGGGGCTAATTTACAATTCAATCTGCTGTGATACATGTGTAGGTTAGATTCTTTCTGCTTCATGCACCAGGTAATTAAACCCTCGTTCAAATGCACATCCCCATTATATATATATATATATATATATATATATATATATATATATATTACACCGGCTTGAGAACAAACATGAAGCCAACGCAACAACAACAGAAACAAATCACCAAGTCGAGGGGCGGGGGAATAAGTGTCAGCAAAATGATCACAAGTAAAAGTAGATGTTTTCTCAATTTCCACAGTGAACGTTTTGTTGATATTTTTGTCGGTTTTTCAATGGTTGCTGAAGAAAGGGAAGTCAATAGATAGGCCATACAACATTCGCGCCAACAGATTTGATTCTGAGCCATACCTCTCAGAGTCTATAACCAACGGCAATCCTCATCTCTTGAGCCCCAATCATTGAGGCGGGAAGCACCAACCGAAGCCAAAGCTGAAGGAAAATTTCTTCATGTCCCTGCGCTAAGTCATAACCTGACCGCCACGCCCTTTCCTTCAGTTTTGCCCAGCACGTGCAAAAAGAGCGTGAAAAGATAAACAATGGGCTGGCATTCGCAAAACCTGCCCGAGCCGTCGGAGGTTGTGTAGAGCGTCTACCTCTATCAAGGGGCGACTCTCAGGACGGAACACACGACGACGAACTTAATCATTGCTCACCCGATGTTCCCACTAGACACGAACAATGCTCCGGAGACACCGGTGGTCGAATACAAAAAGTCGTTGAGCATCCTCAGGGCCGAGGGGCCAGGTCTCGCAATCGTAAAGAAGAACACTGCGAACTGCGGCACTGTACACCCTTCCCTTGAGAGAAAGCCGGCTGTTATAGCAATGCCACAGATGACGCAGTTTCGCGAAAGCTGCTCTGGCTCACGCGATTCGTGATGTGATCTCCCCAACACCACCACCAGCTGTGATCAGGCTCCCTAGGTACTTAAAGCTATTGACTGCCTCTAACCGATTACCACCAAGGTTGAGTGCAGGTACAGGCTCCTGCCAGCCTTGAACATGTACTTTGAACTTTGAAGGCGCGAAGTACTTATCGTACCGCGATACCTTAATCCCCAAGTGACTCAATGCCTATTGAACTGCCTGTGCACTGTCACTCAGTAGGGCGATATCATCGGTTTACTCTAAGTCAAAGACTCTGTCCCCTGGGAGTAGTTTAACCCCACCAGTCAGATGATCACACAAAGTGTTCTTCAAGACATCCACTGTAGCAAAGGTGAGAAGAAACGGGAATATTGGTCTGCCTTGTCGTACTCCACTGGAGACGTTAAATAGTGAAGGAAGCTAGCCATAAGCTCAAACTCGACCTGAGATATAAAGGTACAACTCTATGATGACCGACACACACTTCTCAGGTACGCCGTTCCTTAAGAAACAGTTCCACAATGCAGATCTATCGACGGAGTCAAGGGCCGCACGAGTGTCTAGAAGAACAATAATCGTTCGATTTTGGAAGGCGTACCGGTACTCTAACAGCTATCGGAGGGAAGATTTGTGTTGAGTTCACGTCTTGTTGTCAGCCGTGCCACATTATGCTCACTACCATCCGGGATTAATTGACGTAGAGGCTCAGCAGAAATCCAGGGTGTCACGAAACGATGGGCTACGCAACAACTCACTAACCCAACAGAATACCAAGCATTCTTAAGCAGTGACCAGTGCTGGCTGATGTTATCTGGAAGAGCTGAGCTCAGCTTTTTAGCTAGAACGTTTCAGAAAGTTGACTGGCAAGACATATCAGACAACTAACGCAGTCTAACTGCTGCTTCATCGTGCTTTCGGCACACCCACGGAAGCACATAGACAGCTTTGTGCAGACTAACGCGTGGTCGGACTCAAGGGCAGTGCTCTAGTACAACTGGCAGTCTTGTATGCAACCCCACTTTTTGTAGCTGATTGAGGCGTGGTCTATCTGGGTCCATTGCTGACTCGCAAAGGGCTAACGCCTAGGAGTGTTCGAGCGACTAGAACGTCTGAATTTGGTACGGGCAAGAAACAGACGGTGATGTAAACACAGAATCGGCAGTCATTCCCAGTTTTCCGAAAGAAAACAATCGAGGCCAAAAGGGCCTTCCAAATGCGCTTTGTTCATAAACAGCCGGGCCACTCTAGCGTTCATGTATCCAGCTAGAATCATGATATTACCCCGTTTTGATTTATGTTGGAGGTCGTGTAACGTTCAGTAGAAAACATCTTTGATTGCATCTGAGCTGCAGTCTATACGGAAAAGCTGAGGCGACAAACGAATTGCATCTATCGGGACAGCATTTGCTTACTTCGCACGAACCTCTTAGTGTCACTGCCCACAACCGACTGTCAACTGGGATCCAGTCAAGTAGAGCATTCTTGGCCCTCCCACTGATAGCTATACCTACGCCAGCAAGACCAGCAGCCGCAGCCTCGGAGTTCTCAGAAAAATGCAAGAGTAACTTTACAGGACTGAATGGGGCCATCAATCAAATTACGGAGCTGTAATCTTGGATGCAAGTGTCTTGAACACAACAAACGTCGATGGCAAGGGTCTCCAAAGTACGAGCTAAAAACGCCTGTTGTCCTATACGCATTAGCGTTTGCACACTAAATGTGGCTAGTTTAAAAGGACACCAGGGGCGAAGAAGAGCATCAGCTGGTAGAAGTAGATTCGGTGATACTTGGATGTTATTGAAGGAGGAGGTAAGAGAACAAAAGCAGGACTTTCCTCAGAGAAACTACCGCAAGTACGGCTGACTGCATTTCCCCAAGAATATGAAAATGAGTGTATGCAGCGGTGAAGTGTGGAAGTAGAGAAATCAACGTGTGTGTACGGTGTTAGAGCATCAGTGAGAGC